TATATTTATGTGATCATTATTTTTTTTAATAATTAACGAATGGTATAAAAACAAATACAAATCAACATGTATATTTAAATCAACATGTATATTTAGGTACATTACTTTCGAAACAACGAAAAAAGTTACAGTGTGTTTGTTAGAATGACATTACTTTGAATTAGTGTGTTGGTTTCCAAAATTCAAAAGGTTTTGATTTTTGACTTTTGACTTTTGATATATAACTTTTGCCTCTCGAAATAGTTTTGACTACTTTGAGTTAAATCAATCCAATACATACTAGAAAAAGCATTCTTGATATATTACCTTTTTACATGTTATAAGAAATTAAGGTATAACAAGTATTTTCAGAGTAAGGTTGCCAATGATAAATCACAGTTAGGAAATTAATTATTTGATCTCCTTTTGGGTGATTTCCTGCAGAAACTTAGTAAAGAATCGATTTTTGGTATGGTAAGATTTATATTAAATTTATTTATACTTTATGAATTTAAAGAGATTACATTCAAGAGCGTGAGAACACTGAAGAACAATTGTAACTAAATTCTTCAAGTGCTACAGCTTGGAGATCCCAAAATGGAGATCTTTCATGGAAATGAAGGAACTGGTTATAAATGAGGAGGGATCTTATGTATATGAAGTGTTATCACCATTATTGAATATCGCAATGAGAGATCTACTGGTGAGTATTGATATATGGGGCATTTGGTTGGTGTAATTTCAACTCTTATTTTTTACAAGTTCAAGTTTATGAGATCTATTTATCAAACATTATAGGGAAGATGAGGCGAATTCAGCTAGCGCAGAGTGAAAAGGTTCTCCCAACAAGCATGATGAACTGATTACAGTGTTGTCACAAAAATAAAAGATAAAAAGGTATAAATCAGGTACCTTGAAACTGGCCAACTAGATTCTGTTCTTAAGAAGCAATGGCAGGACCACAATAAGTTCAAAAGATGTTATTGAGATTTTACAAATTTATCAAGAATGAGGGAGTATTCAGGAATTTGACAATGAAAACTATGCTGTTGATATTTGCGATTAATGTTGCTGATAATACAATAGAACTCTGTTGTATGTGTGATATGCCTCCCATTTATAAAAACTGTTTACTTAAAACAAGCAACTATCCCACTATATATTTATATATTTCATTCGCAAAATCGGAAGATCTTTACTGTCTCATTATTAACTTCTAAACAATTCAGATGAAATGTCATCAATAATTTCAACATCTTCAGATATATCAATAATGTCATCACAAACATCAACAGTGTCAACAATTGCTTCCCTGAAAAGTCTGCCATCTCTCGTAGACATGAAAAAGAAACTTCAAACAATTCATGTATTTTCATATACTTTATTTTTTTCTATATCAATAAACTGACTCAGCTGGTTGAGATTTTTGTACCTTCGTAAAACAAGATAATGATACACATGAATTATATCCGATAATCTCCCACACATATCTGATGAAATTAAGCATGGCTGAGAATATTCGAATTGAGGTTATTTGCCTCTAGATATCTTTATAATTGAATACTGCTTTCATATCTTGCATATTCCTGTTTATGATGATTATAAAATTTTTGTCAATTGTATGCATATAGGTTAATCATGTTCCCATGGGAACTTGCTTTATTTTACGAAATAAAAACTTTACTGTAGTAAAGACATAAAAAAATAAAAAAGTATACCTCAAAAGGACATGAAAAATATATCATTATTACACCATTGGTTTTATTAGAAGGTGAATTAGGAGCCACATTGAAATATTCAGAAACCTCTGCCGTTGATTTTGTAGGAATAAGTGTGTAGAGATTGAAATTAATAGAAAGTTCTTGGTGACCCTGATTGTTCAACAGACCTCTAATTGCAGATTTGAGCATAGCAATATTACCTACGTATTTCAATTTTAAAACAATCTCTGTCCGGAAAACAACAATTGAGATTAATAAGATTGGTTATTTTGCATTTTCTAAGTACAAAGTTATAATGAGTAAAAATTTGTTTTTCATAGATAAAGCCACAAATAATGTATAATGAACCAATATATTACCTTATAAAAATCACAGGAAGATGAAAAATGATGCCTTGCAAATCTAGCTTATTTATATTGTTTCATTTGCTTAATCTGAGGATCTGCTAAAAGAAAAATACATGATTAGTGATTATATTAACCCTGATCATTTTCCAGATCCTTTCTTCATAAAGCAGGTCCATTAGAATCACAAGCACCAAGCACTGAATATATGAACAGCACTGAAGTATGAAGAGCTATGGTTTGAATTCTCCAACTACCAATTTCTATTTTGACAAGTTGAGTGGTGGCCATGTGATGTTTAACATTGATATTATAGTTTGCTGCGAGTAAAGGACAATAGGTGTAATATGTACTCCAAGAAAAAAGATAATGAATAAATTTAGTAAAAATTTTTTTGCACGTGAAATAGTTCTGGAAATAAGGGAACTAGATGATTGAACCTTTATATTTAGACATATATATAAGTAACGTAATTTTCTCAATTTTTCAATTATTTTGTTGTTTTCATCCTCTTGTATATAATAAACCTATTTTTAACCATTAAAAAATGATCTTGAAGAAATAAAGAAACCTTTTCAACAGAAAATCATGCAAAAATCATCCGCAATTTTGCGCAGCATCATGTAAATATCCAATTTTATTGGTGGGTTGGGCGTTAACCTTATTTAGAAATTGATTTGGCGAATTGTGGATGATTTTGGCAGAAAAATACATGATTATTTTCAACAGTGAAGAATACACTATTTCTGGAAGAGGGTTTGGATTCAAGGAATGATCGTTTATTTTAGTTATTATGATGGTGATTGATCTGCAATTCTCCAAATTAAATTTTGATCTTTTTATGTTTATTAGCAATTGAAACCGAAAAATCTTTGTTTTTTAAACCTAATTTTTGGGAAAAATTTTTTGCTTTCTCTGGGTGGCAATTTCAGAAAAATTTGATCTATGTAATTTTTATTGTGAAAAAAAAAAAATACAAAGTATAATAAAATTATTCAGTGTCACAACTCTCATCACCATCATCGTTTACCACTGTTTCATTCTCATTATTATTATCATCATTTTCAATGGGGTACGTATTACTTTACTGACAATCATTTTACCGACAGTCATTTTACCGACAACACATGGCGTGCCATTTTAGCATTTTATTTGTTGTTTGATATGTGGAGGTTAAATGGCGCACTGCGTGTTGTCGGTAAAATGAACTGTCGGTAAAATGATTGTCAGTAAAATGAATGCCTCCCTTTTCAATGTTGTATGAATTTTCTACTGCATCCATATAACCTTTATTGTTGCTGACAACTTCGTTCATTGTATGTGTCCGTTTCGTTGCCCTTGATGTGCTTGATTCTTCCTGTGGGTCATGGTCTGCACTTCTTTTTTTACCTGACTCCCTGATGTGATTTTTGGTCTTTCTCTTGCTGTTGGATGGAACTCATGAATTGTTCCTCAAAATCCAGATGTTTGGATTTTAATGCTTTGCGTGGGGATTTCTTATCATCGTTG